TTAAAAAAAAAAAAAAAATGTATGTTAAAGTTGGTTGGAGTGCAGTGTTATAACACCCAAGGTCAAGGATTTGGATCACTGTACTGGCCAGCAACAGAAAAACAAACAAACAAACCAAAAAACCCCCCCCAAAACAAGAAAAACCAACCCAAAACCAGCCAAACAAAAAGTATGTTCACACAGAAACTTATACACGAATGTTCATAGCAGCACTATGCATAATAGCTAAAAAGTGGAAACAACCCAAGTGTCCATCAACAGATGAATGGATCAATAAAGTATGGCACATCCATACTATGGAATATTATTCAGCCATATAAAGGAACAAAGCACTGATACATGCTACGACATGGATGAACCTTGAAGATATTATACGAAGTAAAAGAAGCCAGACACAAAGGGCCACATAGTGTATGATTTCATTTATATGAAGTGTTCGCAATAGTCAAATCCATAGAGATTTCAGAAAGCTGATTAGTAATTGCCTGAAGCTGGGGAGAGAGAGGGTGCGTGGGGAGTGACTGCTTAATGGGTACAGGGCTTCTTTTTGGAGTGGTAAAAATGTTCTGGAACTAGATAGTGGTGATGGTTGAACAACATGATAAATATACAGTTATGCCTCAGTATCCATGGGGGATTTGTTCCGGGACCCCCAGCAGATACCAAAACCCAAATATGCGGAAGTACCTGTGTGAGACTGCAAATGTAACTTACTCCATCTTGAAATAAGTTGCCACTTGTTATGTCCTTTGTGTGAACCCTGCCCACAGAAGTTATACAGTAACTAGGGGTAAGATAGTCAAAACAATAGATAGAAAAGTCTTGCTGACTATAAAGGAGGGACCGAATGATTAAGTACTGGTATAGTAACAGCTGGTCTGGCTACCTGCATCACAAGATCACCAAAAATAATAATAATTGTCATAAGTAGCAACATTAGCTTGTTTCTTAGTAATTGCTTCTTGGCTGTTTCCACTGCTTAGTGTGAACTGCCTATATAAACTTGGGCTTAACCAGGGGGTGATGCAGAGAACCCTCTCCATCCATTACCCTGTAAGCAGATTACCCTCTTAATTAAAATTCTTTGCCTTACTACATGGAAGTGCTCGCTTTGTCTTTCGGTCTCAAGATACCCTCTTAGTTTGGTGGGCATTTTGTCTTTGCTCCACCTTCAGACACCCTGATAGAAAATGGCATAATATATGCATATAACCCACACATATCATCCCATATAGTTTAAATCATGTCTACATTACTTATAATACCTAATACAATGTAAATTCTATGTAAATAGTTGTTATACTGAATAACAACAATTTAAAAAAATCTGTACAGTTTCAGTACAGACAATTTTTTTCCAAATATTTTCAACCCCCAGTTGGTTAAGTCCATGTATGTAAAACCCATGGATACAGAGGGCCAACTGTACTAAAAACCACTGAATTATACACTTAAAAATGGTTAAAATGGGGCCAGCCTGTGGCTCACTCGGGAGAGTGCGGTGCTGATAACACCAAGGCCGCGGGTTCGGATCCCATATAGGGATGGCCGGTTCGCTCACTGGCTGAGCGTGGTGCTGACAACACCAAGTCAAGGGTTTAGATCCCCTTACCGGTCATCTTAAAAAAAAAAAAAAAAAAAAAAATTGGTTAAAATGGTAAATTTTTTTTTGTTTTTGTCTTTTTCCGTGTCCGGCAACGGATCGCAACCCTCAGTGTTGCCCCCGTACCGGACCGGGGACCGGCAACGGGATTGCAACCCTCGGTGTTGCTCCCGCGCCTCACTCAGCCAGTGAGCGGAACCGGTCTGTATGTGGGATCCGAACCCTCGGGCGGGAGCGCCGCCGCGCTTCCCAAGCGGCGCACTTATCCAGTGCGCCACCAGGCCAGCCCTAAAATGGTAAATTTTATGTTATGTGTATTTTGCCACAATTAAAAAAAATACTTCAGATGACATCAGCTATTCCCTTGTTTATTTATTTATTTATTTATATTTTTAAAAAGATGACCGGTAAGGGGATCTTAACCCTTGACTTGGTGTTGTCAGCACCATGCTCACCCAGTGAGCAAACCGGCCATCCCTATACGGGATCTGAATCTGTGGCCTTGGTGTTATCAGCACCACACTCTCCGGCCCTATTCCCCCATTTAGACTATGCTTTGGCTTCCTATCACAGCTAGAATACAATCCAGACTCTTCCAGAAGCTTCAGGGCTATGCATGGTCTGCTCTTCCCAATCTTTCCTTTTTCCTTCATGCCTTTCCAAGACCATGCCCAAGAGATTTTCATTTTTCTACCTTTGCACTTGCTGTTCCCTTTGTCTGAGAACTCCCTTCTCTCATATCTTGGTCTAGCCTGTCTCCTTTCTTTCTTCCTTCAGGTGTTGCTCACATGTCGTCTCAGCAAACTTTTCCAGTCCTGTCCATAACAAGTCTCAGACACACTCCGGTTTCCTCACTTGCTTTGTATCTTTTCATAGCTCCTATCTCTACGTGCCACATGTGTATTGACTTATTGTTCGTCTTCCCACGCTCAACTGTAGACTCCACAAAGGCAGATGTTTTCCTCTGTCTTGTACAACATTGTATCTACAGCACCCAGCCTCAGTGCCTGCTGTATAGTGGATGCTCAGTAACTATTGCATAGATAAATGTTAAAAGAAGTATGAGAGATGGGTTTTCTCTGTCTCTCTGTCTCTCACACACATACACATTTCAGATGAGGACGCTGAGGTTCTAAGAGGTCCCATCATTTGTCTAAGCGCCACAGATCCCAAGCAGTGGAGCTGGGCCTTGAACTCTAGCCTCTGAGCACTGCGACCTATATAACATGAATGTCTTTATCCCACACACAGAGAGGTGGGTTGACACACATGTAGACACACCCCATCCGGGAGTGGCACATGCACACAGCAATGTGGATTCCTTCATTCATTGAGGCCTATCACATATGGTTGGGCAGGTTATGCACTGTACAAGGGGATTTGGCTGAGAGGCTGAAATACATGGGGGATCTGATCAGGCAGGGGTGGATGCCTTTGTTTCATCTGCACAGGGGCTGCTGAATGGGCCAGCAATTCTCCTGCTCACTCCCCATTCTGTGCCAAGCCTCTGGCTGGGCTCTGAACACAATTTCCTTCTCTACTAACAGAGTCCCATTGACTCCTCTAACTGCTCACACGTGCACACTCCCAGGGAGACACAGCTCCAGGCCATTGACAATTCCAGTGGGGGACAAGGAGCAGTGGCACATTTCCCTGAAACCCAGCAATACACCCAGACACAACACACACATAAGCACCTCTCTACACCTCTTGATGCAGGGCAGCACCTACAGGTGGGTGGAGAAAGAAACACACCTGCAGACACAAAGATACAGGGGAATTAGTTCTTCTCTTACCTAACACCAAACTATGCAGAGACACAACAGAACTTACATACACACAACGGCATAAAGCAGAGGACACCCAGACACTGTTCCAACAAAACATGAAAGGATACCCAATGTCATCCTGGTGGCACACATAGACACACATACACACAACTACATATGGATACAACTGTGTATTTCTGCACATTTTGACCCATATCACACAAGTCCCAGATATTTTGACACACTGGGACAACACACACCTCAAGAACATGTCCAGGGACCGCTCAACATAGCTATACATGGACATGCAACCACATGTATCATAGCTCATAACCATGCAAACTCATGGGTGCATACCCATGTGTGCAAACACACCCTAACCCAGCGGAAATAGGTATAGTCTGGAAGTAGGCATGTGACTCTCCACCCCACACCCAGATGCAGCCCACCCCCGCCCCCACCTCCAGTTCTTGCACACATAAAAGGCACTTTCCACCTCCACAACTGGGGAGGAAGGGGGCCCAGAACCCCGGTCTCCTCATTCCTCCAGCTTTCTATGTCCCCCTCCACCCAGCTCAGGACCTGAGAAACACAGACATGAGGAGACAGATCAGGGGAGCTGGCCTGGGGAGGGAGGCCCAGAGTAGGCCCACGTGGTCCCTGGGCTCCTGGACGGCCCCCCTCCCCAGCTCCATACCTGCCTCTCTGCCCAGCTCTGTGCTCCACACTCCATCCCTCCTGCTGCCCCCTCCCAATCCTGCCAGCTGGGGGTCAGGGCTGGGATGGCAAGAGTGGGATGGGATGGGATGGGTGGCGTGAGGATGAGTTGCCTCCTGAGATGCCTGTCAGAGAAAGAGATGGAGCAGGACCCTGGGAGAGGAACATGAAGAGAGCGCCTTGGAGGTGTCTGTGTATGGAGTATGCCCAGAAACCCAGAAAAAGGGACAGAGATACTGAAGCCCAAGAAGAGGACAGAGAACCAGAGGGGAGAGGCAGAGAGAGAAAGCGAGAGAAAGCAGGGGGTACAGATACCCAGAGAGAGAATGACTGAGACCCAGAGAAAGAAAGAGGGGGAGGTAAAGAGGTTGGGGGGAGGGAGGGAGGGAGGGAGAGAGAGAGAGACCCAGAGAGAGAGAGAGAGACCCAGAGAGGAGAAAAACCCACAGCAGGAGGGTACATGACCTATGGGGTGGGTGGTGGTGGGAGGTAGACAGAGATTGAGAGGGAGAGAAAAACCCGGAGAGAGAACAAAGACCCAGAGTGGGGACAGTGAGCGGGGGAGGTAGAAAAACACTAAGAGGAGGGGCAGACACCTAGAGAAGTGCGGTTCAGAGAAGGGGGCAAGTGTAGAGAGAGAGGAGGACTGAGATCCACAGAGAGGAACAGAGACCTAGAAAAAGAGTCAGAGCCTCTGGGATCGCTGGGGCTGGAGTGGGGTCCGAAGGTGGCGGAAGTGGGTAGTGGGGGAGAGGCTGGGGATGGGTGCGGGAGGGGCGCGCAGGGTCCCAGTGCAAAGAGGGGTACTTCTAAGAATATCTGGGTTGACGGGTTGGTTTCGGGTAACTATGTAGAAAGCTGGCTGGCAAGAGGGGGCAGGGATGTGGGTTCAAGAGAAGGTGGACTCCAGCAGGTGGAGCAAAGTGGAGGGACAAGGGGAGGTGTCCGGGTGGATCTGCGTTCCAGGCACCGGGGGCGGGGAGATCCTAGGAGCTGCAAGGGGGCGCTGCCCCTCGCTCGTCTCGGGGAAGGCGGGGACGGAGCGAAGGAGGAGGACCCTCCCCCAACACTCAGCAGGCTGCGCCCCTGCCCTGGTCCCGGGCCTTCCAGTTTCTTGTGTCTCCGGGCATCTTTGCGTATCCGGGTCCCGGGATATCCCTGTCCATTCCTTCTCCCGGACCCCCGCCTCCCATCGTCCCCTCCTTCGGCCCACCGGCACGTCTCAGGCTGTGTCTCTCTCTACATGCTTCATCGCATCTCTGCGTCTCTCTCTGAGTCTCTGCTCCTGGCCCGGTCTCTCTCTGTCCCATCGTCTGTCTCATTCTGTCCCCTTCTTTGAGTCTCAATTTTCTGGGCCTCCATTTCTCCCCTTCCCCCCCCACCCTGTCCCTGTCTCTGTCTCTCTGCGTCTCCCCCTCTGTCTCCATATTCATATCTCTATTTCTCTGGCTTCATGTCTCTGTCTGTCCCAGGTTTGCTGTCTATGGATCTCTGACCCTCTGAGTGTCTCTGTGTCTCCCCTCAACCCCATCCCGGACCCCCGAACCCCGTCCCCTGTCCCCCCACTCTCTCAGTCAGGCTCGGGTTGGTGGGGTGGGGTGGGGGGGCGCTGCGGCGGGAGCTGTGTGTTCCCAGCGCAAAATAGACTCCTGTTGCCATGACGACGCGAGCACGGCCTCCAAGACGCGAAGCTTCAGGCTGGGGGTGAGAAGGGGGGACTCCTGCATCCGGAAGGCGGGGGCCGGGGGCGCCGACGCCCGGTCCCAGGGGCTCCTAGGGGAGGGGGAAGGCTCGGACTCCTAAGTCCCTGGAGTGGGGGTGTTGGACGCTATGACACCAGAGTCCGGGGACCGGGCCTTCGGGGAGGGGTCTGGGCTTCCAGGGTCTGAGGTGGGGGCTCTGATTGCTCACCGGGGGGCGGCTGGCTGATTGCTCTGACGCCCTGCGTCCCTGGGGATTCAGGGGTTGCCTTCTTAGGTCCCCAATGTTGGGGAGGGGGCAAGGACTGCGAATCTCAGCCGGGGGGTGGGAGCGTTCTGACTGGGGAATCTATAGAGTTCCAACTCCCAAATCTCCATGGGGACTGCAGAATTCTGGGAGCTCCATATGGACTCCCCGACTCCTGTGTCTTGGGGGAACAGGGACATTCGGCTGAAACTGTGTTCTTACTTCCATCCGTCCATTCATCCATCCGTCCGCATGCCTGACCCTTCCTCCCCGTCCCCATATCCCCCGTGCCTCAGTTTCCCCCTCCGCACCAGGGTGCGGTCGCGCTCACCTCACTTTCTCCGGATGCGGGACCCTTGGGGAGTCGGGGGTGGTGCCGGCGTTGGGGGCCGGCCGGGGGAGGCAGAGCGAGCGCGTGTCTGCAAGCCAACCGGCTGGGTGTGTGCGGCGCGCTGATGGGGGCAGCCGGCAGCGTGTTGGACGACCCCGGGCCGGCAGTTCTTTTTTCCGTGCAGATGCGCACCGACTTCCGTGCAGATGTGGCAGAGGCCAGCCCTCGCCTTTGCCTGGAGCCGGTTTCAAGCTAATAGGCACCTCCCCCTACCCACCTGCTGGGGACCCCTCTTTCTCCTGCCCGCAGACCCAAGTCGCCCCCGGGATACCCCCAAATCCAAGAATGGTTCGGTCCACAGCCACATCAATGTTTATTCTAAGAGTCGTCCCACAGTCAGTGACACTCCTTCCCCCTCCCCTTCCCGCCCAGTGAAGTGGCCCGGGGCTGAGCTCCACCTCCACCTCAGCTAAGCCAACTCCCACCAGCTTCCAGGAGTCTCATTTGCATTTCTGGGAACAATCGCCCAATGGGAAGGCAGCACCTCGCCTCCTCTCCTGAGGGGGTGGTACTCCCGGTGGACCGCACCACTCTTGGGATCCAGGGATGGGGGGAAAGCGCTTCCAGAGGTCAGGGCAACATGAGGGTGGTTTTCCCTGAAGGCAGGGTCAGGAGTTCAATGGAAGAGGGAGTTCTAGCCTTGGAAGAGGCCTAGCAGCCCGCTGTCTGGGGCAGGGTCCTTGATGACCTTCTGGATCTGTAGGAGGAGGGCAGAGTGGGTCAGGAAGAGTCAAGGGTTCCATCTCCATGATGACAAATCTGAGGGATGCTTCTCCATCTTCATTTCCCTGACCCTCTTGGCAGCAGCTGACCAAGCCAACCATTCTCTGTTCTTGAGAGCTTTCCTGGGGGGTGGTCTCCCTTTCCTCACACCTGCCAGGTATAGTGCCTAACTGCCTGCCATCCTGGTTCTACTTTGTTGGCTTGGACCACTAAAGTTGGACAGCTCAGTCCTGGGGCTTCTTGTCTACACTTTTCTCTCTTTTTTTTTTTCTTTTTTAAAAGATGACCGGTAAGGGGATCTCAACCCTTGGCTTGGTGCTGTCAGCACCACG